GAAAGCTCACCACATATATTGAGAAAGCTCACCAAACATAACTAGAAAGCTCACCAAACTTAGCTACAAAGCTCACCTAGTAAAGCTCACCAAAAATATAGAGAAAGCTCACCACATATATTGAGAAAGCTCACCAAACATTACTAGAAAGCTCACCACATATATTGAGAAAGCTCACCAAATATATTAAGAAAGCTCACCAAACATAACTAGAAAGCTCAGCAAACATTACTACAAAGCTCACCAAATAATTTAAGAAAGCTCAGCAAACATAGCTAGAAAGCTCACCAAACATAACTAGAAAGCTCACCAAACTTAACTACAAAGCTCACCGAATATATTGAGAAAGCTCACCAATTTTTTATACCCATGTATTGGGTTATTAAAAAGAAGGCAATTTTGTGGCGCATTTGCGGAAGGAAATGGATGAGAAGTGCCCGGTGTCAATTCTTTTTACTCTTAAATTTTTATCACAATTTAATACTCCCTTCGTCCCGGTATATTCGTCCACTTTTGACTTTTGGAACTGTTCATCTAAGCACTTTGACTCATCAAATTCTCTCAATGTGTAAGCGTAAATATAGTCATGTGTGATCTTGTTTGATTTGTCTTAACATATAGATTATTAATATATAATTCCTATAATTTTTTAATATACAAATTATAAGATAAAATGGATTAAAGAAATGTATTGCATGGTGTCTAAAAATGAAAGTGTACAAATACTCTGGGACGGAGGTAGTATATTTTTTCCGTAATTTATTCTCAAAGTTTAAAATGTTTGCTCCAAAAGTCAAAATGGGAAAAAATATAGTCATTGTTTAAAAGCATTGACGAAAAAAAAGTTGGCCCCGAACTCGACCTAGTGTTGTATGAATTTTGCAATGTTAGAATAAGTGTTCTTCCCTAGTAATATTTGATCACCTTATAGAAGTAATATTTTAACAGCATGGTTACCAACTTTGAAAACAACACTCTCAATTTAAAGAAGTAGAATAGAAATCTAAATCAAAAGAAGCAAATTGACATGGAGTTTATAAATATTAGTCATAGAAGATAGAAGAAAGTGCTAATATGATACACATCAAGTATCATTTCCATTTGAACAAAAAAAAAACTCTGGCTTAAAGTCTTAAAATTTCTAAATCTACTCTTTCAACCAAAAAATAAAACCTCTCAAAGCATTCAACTCCCCATTTTTTTCCATAGTCCGCAATAAAAAAGACACTAAGACGGAACAGTAGGCATATACAGAGCTCAAATTCCAACTTCGGCTTTTGCTAATCTCTAAAAAGTAGCTGCTAGACCTCCCTATTGTTGTTTTGCTTCCAAGTTAACAGGTGATAGTCACTGTAAAAAGAGCAAAGTAATACAGCCTCCCACATGACCAAAGCAACAACATTAATAATCCAAATAATAAGCAACATAAGTGTACAAAAACTATTCAGAAGAAGTGTCGGGCTGATTCTAGAACCAGATGAAGAAGATGGAGATGGTTTTGGTGTGTTAGATTCCCACATCGGAAAATTACACACGATGAACATGCCCTTCATGAGCTTAACTAACTGAGAAAGTCCTACCCAATCATAAATTTACAACCAAAGAACCAAACTCAACTGAAAGCTGAGCTTTAGGACCTCTGAGTCAGCAAGATCAACAAGACTATGTTATCATTTCAAAGACTGAGGACTGCTATGAATTGGACTGGATTCAAATTGATGAAAAGATGCATCTTAGAAATATGGGAATCCAAAGAATTATCACTGTGCTAAACTATTTCTGGATCAAATTGAGTCGTGTTTGTTCAAAAACCCACTAGAAAGAAAGAAAAACCCAATATTTTTTTACAAAGAAATTGACAGTAACATGAAAGAAAGAAAGAAATCTTGACACCCAGATATGAATTCTTCAGAACACAGAATTAAACAAAAAAAGAAGAATAAGAAGAAGAATGATTTTACAGGATTGCAGTTTACCAGAGCTCACTGCACGGCTTGAACTTGGCTGTTTGTAATGGTGATTCAAGAAACCCTAGCAGTCCAATTGTAAAGATTTTGAGCACTTGGTTACTCTTCATCACTGCTGCTTTTGCTATAAAAGAAGGATTATTAAAATCTAAATGTAAATTAAATGAAACAACTAAAATGAAACATTTAAAAGTAACCTGTTGTTTTTCAATAGACAATTACGGCTGTCATGCGTAGTCATTTTGTTGCATGAACGACAACGTCAAGTGTGCTTTTGTTTTTCTTGACCCTTCTCCACACCACTCTTAATCCTCTTTTTCCTTCCCTTCGTGACTCCAATCGTAGGAGGATGGATTTCAACTCTATCAGGCACTTTGCATCCAAAATAAGTTTCCAAGTCTTTCCTTTTATCATTTCCAACTGTTGGCCCCATATCAGTGAGTTGATGCTCAAGGGAAGTTGTACTCTCTAAAATCACTTTCAATTTCTCATAATCTTGCCCTGCCAGAAGCATGCAGTTGTAAAACTTGCACCAGATATTAGATAAAGTTTGATTCTCTAGCTTCGTTGTATGTTTCATCAAAATGCACCGTGCCTTCAACAACAGCTCTTTTCTTTGCATATTTTGTCCATCTATCGAAAATATAAACCTTTGGCAGCTCTCTAAACCCTTGCCCATTCAAAACTGATAGAATATGCCTACAAGGGATTCCTTGTGACATAAAAAAATGGCAGGAGCGTGTGGCAGCTTCTTCAGTCAGATCACTATATCGGACATTGTACAGCTTCCCTTTTGCACCACGATTATCTCTTACGGCTGTCTTTGTTTGACCGTCAACATATTCCATCCCTTGGATACCACAGTAGCATAAGCCATTCCAAAATTCTTCTTGAAACAAGTAAAAATTGGTGTGTGTGTAAACCTCCCGTGCATGGCGCTCCAAGGGTAATTCTGTTCTTAGAACGGGATTTGAAGTTAATGACGCATTCTGTTGTTTGTACTCATTGTCACGCTGAGTATCAATGGCATGCTGAAACCGCACCCAAAATTCTACCTAACTTATTAGTTGGTTTGTCAAACAACTGAACGTTTGGTTTTGGCTTTCTGAACCCGACGTTGTTCTTACAACAGCACCTAAGTATGTGGCATCAAAATATACCTGGGCCCATTGCTCCTTTATTGAAAAGATATGCGTGAACCAATCATTACACAACAAATCAAAATCAGCCATTATGCGTAGCCATTCCTCTTCAAATTCTTCAGGACTCTCTGAGGACCAAACACAGGATTTCAAACGCGTATGGAAGTCTTCAGATGTATTCACAGTGGGGCCCACATATTCTGGAACTTTTTTTAGTATATGCCAGATGCAAAACCTATGTATTGATTTCTTGAACACTTCAGAAAGGGCTAACCTAATAGAATGGTCCTGATCAGTAATTATACTTATTGGTTGCTTCCCTCCCATTGACTCTATGAATTTTGAAAAAAGCCAAATAAAGGAGTCTCCTTTCTGATTACAAACTAATGCTGCCCCAAAACAAATCAGCTTATGGTGGTTATCCACACCAGTAAATGGGCAAAAAGTAAGATCATACTTATTCGTGCCATGTGTTGTGTCAAATGAGAGTATATCTCCAAATGAAGAGTAATTTAAACGACTTAATGAATCAGCCCAAAACACTCTCTTCAAGCGACTCTCTTCATCCACTTCATATGCGAAGTAAAACCCTGTCTCTGTCTCTTTTCTCCTCTTTAACGTGTCAATAAACATATGGGCATCATTGTCTTTAATGATGGCCTTCAAGCTTCTTTGATAGTTCAAAAAATCCTTTTTCGTACAACCCACATTTTGATGACCCATCATCACCTCAGCCGTAACATCAAAAACCTTAGAGGGACCTACATTGACTCTACTAGCACTACACAACATGTGCTTGTGCGATGTAGAAACTTCCCTCGATGAAGATAGGAAATGTCTTCTGCTCGGAGTAACCATCGGATGGACATGGGACTCTTCGAACCGAACAATCTTACAACCCTCCTCACATGACACAACTAAAATACGAGCACGACAACCTTCTCGAGTTTGAGCTCTTTTCTTTCTTTTTGGTTGTTTTGAGTTTATTGATTCTTCAGATAGGGGATACTGCTCACAAAGGGGATCCTGCTCTTGAGGATGGGTTATAACTTCAAGGCCAGTTTTAGGTTGTTTCCTAAAGCCTTCTTTTGAACACACATATGTTTTCTAAGTTTTATCCCCATTTCTACTTTTTGAAGATAAACCACAACATATGCTAAACCCTAATTCCCGGGCATACCGATTGTAGAACGCTTGGCATTCTACAAAACTCGAAAAAACTTGACCTATTTTAATCTTTAAGTTGTATGGTACATCAGGAACCCAATTCCCCAAAGTTATAGAAGCAAATGATGGCGTTTGTAGAAAACTAGAATCAATTGAATAGCTTTCCATTTGCATAAGATAAAAGCAACCTATAGAATATGTCAAAGAGGGAGAAAATAAACATAAACTGTAATTTTTTATCACGAGGAAAAAGTTAACATAAACCGTGTTCAATTTCTTTTGCAGTTTTATTTATCAATCTGGAGAAAATCAATGCAAAAATGGAACGTTTAGAGCCAAAAAGAGCAGACATCTTGAGGCAGATAAAAGAAGCTGAAGGTCATAAGACAACATGCTTCTGCTGTGGTAGAATGAGGCACATTAGGTTGCATATGTTCATGTTTGAATGCTCAGTATGGTGACGTGTAAGTGTGTAACATAATAGAATGTTAATTGTGTCCTGATATGTGTTTAACTTGTGACTCCAGTAGTTGTTCTTGGATCAGTTAGACACTCAGTTAGGATTTATTGTGCTCGTAAATTAGACACTTGATCACTGCCTACCCTCCCTCCCACCACTGGTTTTGCATCACATCAACTAGTGCAATGGTGATTACTCTGCATTTTTGATAGTTTAATTTTTGCAATTTTGATAAGGTCCATTGAAAGCCTGTACAGAATGTATCCATTTTGATAAAACTCGCCAAACATTTTGATAAAACTCACAAAACATTACTGAGTTTCCACATTCTTGTTTGTATATTAAGGATGAATATACAAGATAGCAACTAAAAATTAATCTTAGTACTCACCCATTTAGAATCCATCAGGTAACTCAAATCCCCATACTCAGAAATTCATAGGCACAACTTTTTTCATACCTTTCTCCATTACTTTCATCACAAAGAAAAGAGCTCTTTTTGATAAATTCTCCAAAAAAAAACTTATCCTAAAAAGGCATAAAAAACAGAGTAGAACGAATTACATGGTAAGTAGTATGCTGTCCAATAGATAAAGAAGAAGGAATACCCTTGACTAATCCAATGACAAGTTGAATTCGATGTCTTCCATAATTGGGAATCAAATGCAGAGGTCAGATAAAATTCGCGTGAAGAAGCCGATGAATTTGAAAGTGATTTGGAAGATTGCATCGGCGACAATTGCGGAAGAAGATGGAATGCATCGGCGACAATTGGGGAAGAAGATGGAAACGAGAACAGAATGAAATTGGGGAAGAAGATGGAAACGTGAAAGAAAACGGGGAAGGAAACGAGAAATGAAACGGAAGTATGAAGCGCGCGTGTCATCTGATGGGAACCGTCATCTTACCCAAGCGCGTGTGTATATATATATATATATATATATATATATATATATATGACTTAAAAATAAAAATTACATATTTAAAAACTACATGAAAAGAACTACAAAATAGAGGTGACATGACTATATTATTTTACCAAATATGATACGAAAATAGGCCAATAAAGTGAATGGAATTTGACCCTATGAATAGTGTACAACAACTTTATTATTGGACGGAGGGAGTATATAGGGCTTTTGTAATGTTATACTACTTCAAGTAGTGTAACATCATGATATCAGTCAAATTGGGACACCTACGGTGCTCCGTTCGAAAAATTGATGATTTCTACCCCCTAACCCACCCGCTAAACCCCTCGACCCATCAATTTCACCCTGCCCCCACCCCAACCCCCCTGCACCCCCCATATCTGTGTGTGTGTCAAGATGATTCTAGAGTTAATAGCTCTGATTGACACAATGCAGTTTCACTGCCGCCTTTTTGGGACAATTTTATCTCAAAGTCAATTAAATTTGGAGGTAAAATTGATGGGTTGGGTTTGAGTTGGACCGGGGTGAGGGGGTTACCGGGGAGGTTAGGAGGTAAGAAGCATCAATTTTGTAAACAAAATACTTTAAGTGCCCAATTGGAATCAATGCCATCCAGAGCCACTCAAAGTGAGTGACTCTAGAACTCTGTGTGGGTGCGCGCGCGCACGCGCGCGAGCGTGTGTGTACTTTTATACATCTAAATTATCATAACATTATATACTCATATCAAATCAAAAATTGAGGCTGAAAGTGAATTAACAAAAGTAACAAGGCTCCTCAGCACCCAAGGAGAGCTACATTTTGAAGTGATCTCTAAAATAATGTACATGTTCTGTGCTCTAATCATTTGTTGTGAAGGTGGTAACATGGGAAGAAGCTCCGGACAGCAGAGTTGAATTATCAGACTCAGAAGATAATATATAATCATACACAGCTTTAACGCTTGCAAGATTAGTTTTGGGAGGATTTTTAATCTTGAGATCCATGAAATCAGTTATTAACCCAGGCTTTGTAATATTATCCTTCTCGACCTCCATTTCCCCTGTTAACATCTTGACAACACGGGACATTGAAGGCCGAAGCTTCGGGTTATCTTGAGTGCAGAGAAGTCCGATTTGTAAGAATCTACAGGCTTGTTCGGCATCAAACTGCCCATCAAGGGATGAATCTACGAGTAGTACAAGCTCTTCTCTTTCATAAAGTCGCCATACCTACAATCAAGTTAGCTAGTTAAAATGGTCAATGGATCGACCTAAAGTGTCTCTGCAAATGAAATAAGGCTAATATCAAAGTGAAAAGGTTCACCCTTCACTTGCATTAGCGTTTTTCATTAAGAAGTAATTTTGAAAATTCATGGAGCTACAAGTCAGGGTGCAATGGCATAACTTGCAGCTAAATTGGGATGTTAGTTTAGATATGAAAATGCGAGGCATTTATTGAAGTGAGATAGATGCCATACCTTTTCAAGGAGATGTTGTTCTTCAATGGGTAATCTTGTGTTTGTGTTGCATCTCCCACAGATAATTTCAATGAGAAGAACACCAAAACTATATATATCTGCTTTACGTGTCAACTGGCCCCTTATTGCATATTCTGGTGCCAAATAACCTCTGGAGCACGAAAATACAAAGGCAGGTTTAATATGTACGGAGTAAAAGATATGCCTCACGATTTGCATATCATCATTATTTATTAATGCGGTAAATTTCTATCGTAACGAATTTGTTTAGGAAGTTCTATACATGATAAAATGTCAAGGAGCAGATCTTGGTTCAAAACATGTTAAATACACCAATACTTACAAAGTGCCTGCAACACGTGTGCTGACATGAGTCTTATCTGGGGGAATGAGTTTTGCTAAGCCAAAATCAGAAATCTTGGGTGTCCAATCTTTGTCAAGGAGAATATTACTTGCTTTTATATCTCGGTGGACAATGTGTGGTCTCACTTGCTCATGAAGATACGTTAGTCCCAATGCTACCCCAATGCAAATTTTAGTCCGTGTTTTCCAGTCAAACTGGACTCCGCTGCACCCTCCACCTGAATGCAGCATGTTTGTTAGCACCAAATTTCAAATCAAACTAAATGATAACGGAAGTGCATTTAATCCCCTGCTCTAAACTTTGTTCTAAAAGCCCGCCTAGGCAGCAGGGAATAAGGGTCTGTTTGGTATGGAGCAAGGGGATGGACGGGGAAAATCAAAGGAGATGAAAGCAATGATTCTATTTTTGGTTTGAAAGAGGGGAGGGGAGATAATTACGGATTTAATACTATATCATTAAATATTAGTGCCGGGCTGTCAATCCAAAAACCCTCGAGGCACTCAAAATATCGTACGGGATCTGAATGAGCTGCTTAGGGACAGCACACACCACCGTGGCCGGAAACCAAATACCCATACCAACATCGAGATTATAATGAAAAAAATGGATACAAAATGACACAATATTGTTTAGTCATTTTCCCAAATTCGCTTTGCATCATGTTACATGCATCTTTTATTTGAACTTTGTCAATACCTAACCACTCACATGCCACTGCTATTTTTGGAATTACGAGATGCTCAATTAAGTATTAAAACTACATATTTCTGTTGCTTTTTTTTAAGTCGGGGGGTCTCTTGGAAACAACCTCCCCCTACTTTTGAGTAGGAGTAAGGTCTGTGTGCACACATCTTCCCTAGAACCTACTCACGTGGGATTCAACTTAGTTGTTGTTGTTGTTGCATTTAAGTTGCTTTTAACTTTTTAAATGTGCATATTACAAAGCTGTAATTTTTTATTTTAGTGCCAGCTTAAGACCCGGAGAAGGAACCAGTGCCTAGCAAAATTTAGAACATTGATTTCAACCACATCTACCCGTATATTTTTTGAGCTGGCTAATTGATTTAAGTAGAATTAACAGCGTGGAATTAGGCTCAACGCCTTAAGAATTAGGCTATTTTGGTGCTCTGGAGGCAGCTTCTTTTTTATTCTACGGAGTATATTTGATGTATATCTCCAAATCATGCAAGCAAGGTAGATAAAATCTATATGACCCACAAAACAGGATTGTGGAGTGTTCACTTTAATACCGAAATATTTTTACCTAGAAGGGAATGGCCAAGACTATTGTTTTCAAGATAGTTGTAGACAAGAATTCTATGATCATCTTCCACACAGCATCCATACAGCTTAACTAAATTTTCATGTTCCATATCTGAAATAACTTGAATTTCAGTCAAGAACTCCTGCACTCCCTGTCTTGATTTAGCAGATAAAACCTTTATTGCAGCCATCTTCCCATTTTTAAGTCTTCCCTGCTTGTCAAGGGTTTTAAAAATGAGGTCAGTTTGTACTTTGTAAGACTGGCAATCACAAAATAGGAGCACTGTTATCATGTAGTACTTACTAATGTACTGAGTATAAAGTATTGCCATTTTACCTTATAAACTGAGCCAAACCCGCCCTCTCCAATTTTATTCGTAGGACAAAAACCATTGGTGGCAACTCTTAGCTCCTTGTAGGAGAAGACGCTCACATTTCTCATGCCATAGAGATCTGTTTATGACTGTAGTAATTAGAAAAAATTCCAAAACTCAAAAGGAAGGTTTGTCAAGACTAGATACTGTGAGACAATCTCAGTTCTAACCTTCATTCATTTCAGATGAATGGAACTTGCTACGATTTAAAAAAGAAAAGCAACCCATAACTCAGTTGATCCGCCAACAAATAGCCTCTGGTAAAACACACAGCAGCTTTAGATGAACATCAGAGGACAGCAAAAGCAAAAGAAAAAAACTTCCAGATACACAAAAGGAAAAAAAAGCACCAAAATATACTACTTACTCGAGGGACAATCATAACACATTACATAATACTGCATTGATGATAAGATACGGAGAAAGTTTTGCAAAAAATAATCTTAACCCTGCAAATGATTGGTTTTATAACTTCCTAGTGGAGAAAATCATGATTTTTTTGGCTATTCATGGCTTTAACCTCTTTATATATCTAATCAAAAAAGCGCCGAATTGGAATATTTGTGTTTAAGGGAAAGCTTAAAAAAGAGAAGAAAATAATCTATATTCGTCTCCAACTCATAATTCAAGGGATAATGTAATCAATCGAGCCCAAAGCATTTACTGAAGGATAAAAAAAACAGAGACCTAGTTAGAAGCAGCCACTTCAAAACTTGAAAAACGCTTACAATTGTTTAAAAGCTTGGAAAATTACCCGGAGAAAAACTGAAATAAGGTGCCCTGAAACGTGCAAAAGATGCAAACGGATGAAGATGAAGGATAATTTCAGAGATTGAAGAGGAAATGATGCGAGGGGCGAAGATATTTGTTCCCTAAGATTGATTGATGATGAAATGTAGATATAGTCAACGGAACATCGCTCTGAACGTTCAATAGTTGACAGTTGACTCCAATTTCGCTACCGAACCAGACCATACGTGCAAATTATAGCCTTGTACGACGGGTTTGAAAACCCAAAACCATAAATGGAATCCAAAATCCAAATACCAAAATGGAGTTTTATGGTCTATTTGGTTGGGCGTGAAATATTTTTCAAAATAATTTTGATTCTATTTTCATATGTTTGGTCACATTAGTGAAGAGAAAATATTTTTCTACCAAACAATATATTATATGATTGAAAAATAATTTCCCTTGAAATTATTTTTTGGAAAATATTATTTTAAAAAAAATATTTTACCCCCAACCAAACACAACTTAGATAAATAGAATATCCCCTTTCCCAAATAATGTTTTAGTTAAAATTACGTGTTCTCCATAATTTATGTTTGTATACATGTTTTCATTGTTCATATATTAACTCTAATGAAAAAGAGATTTATAGTAAGAATAAAACAAAGAAAATGTATGAAAACAAAAATTTCATATTTTTATTTTCTAAATAAGAGTTAAAATGCATATATATAATGTCAACCGTGCAAGTATATACTATCAAAATGTATATTAAAATGTTTATATACAAAGTCATATTGTCATAATGCAAAAAAAATTTTGAGAATAAAAAGAGTGTTTCTATGGTGCACCTTGGGTAGATACCAATTTTGTAGATATTCTCACATAAAATCATTTTTATTAAAATAATAAAAAATGCTTATTTTGTTCATATGTATGTTTATGGCGAATCTTAGGTCCACAAGGGTAGGGAGGGGGCCTATGGTGGGGGGTTTAGGGGGAGGATTAAGAGGGGTAGGAACCATCATTTTTACAAAATGGGCATTGTAGATACCCCCAACGAACTCGTGTACTACTAACTAGTGTCATTTTAGACGCTATATATA